GAGCCGGGGGGGGGCGACTTCAAAGCTGGAGGAACAGCTCCTGTTTTTTATTTTTTATCTTGGAGTAATCCTCGCCGAGGTTTATGATCGAGGTCGGGCAGGAGGGATGATGAGAGCGAAGGAAGCACTTGTTAAGGACAAGAAGGATTGCTGGGGCCTTTCTGGGTTTTTTTGTGTGTTTTTTTTAAAACAGCCCAATAATTTTAAAGAGAGCCTGTCACACCGAGCAGCGAAAAACGGTGAAGTGAAGGTGTGGTGGAAGGAATTTCTCTGCCCTTTTGAGGAGAGCCCAGAAATGTTACTACTTAAGACAACAGCTCTCAGCATCCTCCCCCCCCCAATACTGCCAAGGGGTGAAGGGGGATGTTGTCTGCAAGAACTTTCTCCAAACTCTGCTTTTTAGGTCTCACAGGACATTTCCCTGATTGCCTTACCCAGGAATAAGAGGCGGTTCTCCAGGTGTGCCCTTGGATTGCAACTCCCATCATCCCTTGCTGCAAAAGTAAGGTATAAGAGGTGTTGTAGTCCCACATTTGGGAGGCCACCCCTTCCTCACCGATTTAAAAGTGAAAATTTTAAATCTCACTGATTTAAAAGTTTAAAAGAAAAATCCTGCACAGGAAAAATCCTGTGTAGGATTTTTCTTTTAAACGGCCTTTCCTGAGCTTGCGCTATCCAGCTGTGCTGTATGTCTCCCAGAATCCCCCACACACACCAGCTATGCATGCTCAGGACTCACTAAGAAAACCAGAAAGCTGTTTATCTGGCAAACATTGGTGTGAAGTCCCTGTTATTACTCAGAGGTACATGCTTCACCCACCCACATTTTGCAAGCTTATTACTACAACAAATGGAGGGTGTGTGTTCCCCACTGCGGTAGCCATATAATTCTGCTGCAGCAAAACAAATCCTATGGCACCATAAAGACTAAAATCCTAAGATTCACTTGTCTTTCTGGAGGCCTGTGTTACCCATAAAGCTCTCCTCCATCACTTTTTCTCCCTGCCAGCTTTCTTTACTGTTCAACATTTTCATCTATACATAGCAAAAGCTGAACATAGATGGAGACATCTAAACTTACCTTAGGATGGAGTTCCACAACTGAGGTGTTGTTACAGGGAAGTGGCACCTTCCTTCTACCACCCTAGCTGTCCAGGGTGATGGTGTGAGCAATAGGCCTTTGCTGAAGATCTGAAATTTGAGGCAGTCTTCCAAAATCCCCAAGCCCAAACTGGGGTTTTATAGACCAAACCAGCACCCAGAAATGACTGGACGTTGGTACAAGACTGGTTGTATGGGCGTAAATCACTCATCAGATAGCAGCCTACCAGTTATTTTGCACTAGTTGTAGCTTCTCAGCACTTTTCCAAGGTGACACACATATACAGTACTGTGTTACAGTAGGCTTCAAGTTATATCGGTGCCTGAATTTTTACATTGGTAACTCTTTTAGTATCTTTTAGTAAAAGTCGCTGAGCCAGTGACACCCAAGGAAAATGGCTGTGCAGAGGAAATTTTGCATACCTGTCAATTCACATCTTTAGTTATTTATTTTGATGTAGCTCACACATTTAGAATAGTATCTCTTCACTACAGCCCCAGATGCCAGGACACGGAGAGTTATTGCCCAGTTTCCCAAATGGGGATGGCCCTCATAGAGGAGGCCTGTTATTAGGCAACGGCAGGCATCTACTTGCATCAGCAGATGCTGAGGAGCAGAAACTGACAATGGTAGAATGCACAACTGTGTGCTATGCTGTCCCCTCCCTCCCTCTCCCTGTCTCCCTTCGCCCAACTACCAGCAATAGCTTCCTGTTGCCGCTGCTTACCTGCTCGCTGCCGAAGCTGCTGCCGATGCGGGTGGTGAGCGCGTCGCGCGGAGTTCCGCTGCCGCCGTCCGTGCTATAGAGGAGCCGGAAAGGGACGATATTCTGCCTCTCCACGAAGCGATCCGCCTGCCTTCGCCCCATCTCCGTCAACAAGGCGTCTCCGCGGGAGAAAGGGAGGGGAGTGAGGGGAAAGGCTCACCGTATCGATCAAGCCCCTTAGGTCGGAGATGGTTTTATTGACTCGGAGGCCAGTCTCGGCCGGGCGCGACCTCAAGGGGAAGGGGGAGCCCTCCCACCCCACCCCCGTGGGTCCCCGGGATCTCCATCTTCCTTCTGCCCCGCGGACCTGGGATTGCTAGGGTGTGTGTGTGTGTGTGTGTGTGTGTGTGTGGACTTGCATGGCTTATTCATTCATTCATTCATTCATTCATCCGAGCTTTCCTTCAGCACCCGTGCAAGCGCACGAAAGGCAGCTAAGCCCCCC